TCTTCGTTCGGGTTACCATCAGCTGAGGATTCAGGAGTCTGACGTGGCGAAGACCGTGTTTCGTACCCGATACGGTCACTATGAGTTTGTCGTGATGCCGTTCGACTTGGCCAATGCGCCGGCGGTATTCATGGATCTCATGAACCGTGTCTTCCACCCATTCTTGGACCAGTTTGTCATCGTCTTCATAGATGACATTTTGGTCTACTCGAGGAGCATAGCCCAGCACGAAGAGCATTTGAGGATCGTGTTGGAGACTCTTAGGCGAAAGAGACTGTATGCCAAGTTCTCGAAGTGCGAGTTTTGGCTCGATCAAGTGGCATTCCTCGGTCACATTGTTACGGCCGAGGGAATAGAGGTCGATTTCGGGAAGATCGAGGCAGTGAGGAACTGGTCAGCACCTAGGTCTGTTACCGAGATACGGAGTTTTCTCGGGTTAGCAGGCTACTACAGGAGGTTCATTGAGGGGTTTTCGAAGATAGCCCTACCCTTGACACGCTTGACGAGGAAAGGGACTAAGTTCGATTGGAGTAGCCGTTGTGAGTCGAGCTTTCAGGAGCTCAAGAGGAGGTTGACTACGGCACCCGTGCTGACTATTTCGGACCCTACACAGAGTTTCACTATCTATAGTGATGCTTCGAAGCAGGGACTTGGGTGCGTGCTGATGCAGGAGGGCAAGGTTGTCGCTTACGCTTCGCGACAGCTGAAGCCCCACGAGAAGAACTACCCGACTCATGACATTGAGTTGGCGGCCGTAGTCCACGCACTCAAGATTTGGAGGCACTATTTGTATGGTGGTCGATGCGAGATCTACACCGATCACAAGAGTCTGCAGTACATCTTCACACAGAAGGAGCTCAACATGCGCCAGAGGCGATGGTTGGAGCTAGTGAAGGATTATGATTGCACCATCCAGTATCATCCGGGGGAAGGCGAACGTGGTAGCTGATGCCCTTAGCCGAAAGGCGAGGGGCGAGTTGACTTGCATGATCACCCAGCAGAGTCAGCTCCTTCGAGAGTTCGCTCGGATGCAGTTAGACGTCGTCGAGTCACTTCCTACGATGCCTGTCGTAGGAGGTGTTCGGTCGATGAGAGTGTGGCCCATGCTCCGAGATCGAGTTCAGAGAGATCAGTCCGTTGATGAGTTCGTCAATTCCATGAGGGCGAAGGTTGTTGCCGAGGGCGTAGAGGGGTTTTACCGAGGCGCGGATGGTGCCTTCGAGTATAAGGGAAGGCTCGTTGTGCCGAATGTCGAGGCCCTGAGGAAGGAGATCTT